GAGGCTGAGAAAGGTTAAGTGATCGACAAAGACAGAGAGAGGGAAGAGACAGAGACAGAGATAGAGAGACAGAGAGAGACAGAGAAACAGAGAGAGACAGATCAACAAAGACAGAGGGGAGACAGAGATAGAGACAGAGAGACAGAGACAGAGAGAGACAGAGACAGAAAAACAGAGACAGATCAACAAAGACAGAGAGAGGGGAGACAGAGACAGAGACAGAGAAAGATAGAGAGACAGAGACAGAGAGAGAGACAGAGACAGAGAAACAGAGAGAGACAGAGAAATAGAGAAAGACAGATCGACAAAGACAGAGACAGAGAGACAGAGAGAGAGAGACAGAGATAGAGTAACAGAGACAGACAGATCGACAAAGACAGACAGAGAGAGGAGAGAGAGACACAGACAGAGAGAGACAGAGACAGAGAAACAGAGAGAGACAGACAGATCGACACAGACAGACAGACAGGGACAGCTAGGTGGCGCAGGGGATAGAGCACCAGTCCTGAAGTCAGGAGGACCTGAGTTCAAATCCAGTCTCAGACACTTGACACTTACTAGCTGTGTGACCCTGGGCAAGTCACTTAATCCCAATTGCCTAAAAAAAAAAAAAAAAAAAGACAGAGAGAGAGACAGAGAGAAACAGAGAGAGAACAATTGTGCTGGGAAGCTCACAGGAGTTCCTAACCAGTGAAAATATTGGTTTTGGAACTGTTTTATAGTTCCTTTCAGTGTTTTGATAGTTTTCTACAATAGTTCTGTACTGTACAGCCAAGTTTTCTCCTCCTGGCCTGTTCCTGACTTTCTCTGGACTTCAAAATCATGTCTTTACTGCTGTCTCACCCTGCACTTTCCTATGAGCTTGGGACCTCTTCACCCTGAGACATCCTACTATGCCAGTGGCCTGCACACCCTGGAATATCCCTTTGCAAGGCCTGCTCCTCTTCCCTCATTCCCTCCTGGGGCCTCCCTTTTGTGATGGGGCCAAGATCAGGTTGTCTTCATCCCCCTCCAGGCCCTGATTCTGACTTCCTTTGGACTTCAAAATCCAGGCTAGGTTCCTTCATTTTACCCTACTCCCTTTCAGTTTCCTTGTGTGTGCGTTATCTTTCTCTGCTAGAATGTAAGCTCCCTGAGGGCAGTGACTTTCTTTTTGCTTCTATTTGTCCCCAGGACTTGGCACAGTGTCTATCGCGTAATTAGTGCTTAATAAATGTTTCCTTCCTTCCTTCATATAAGCTCATGGGGTAGAGGGCTACCACGGATGATCCAGCTGAACCACGGTGTTAGAAAGTAAAGTGGAAAAAATGTGCCACTATTTCAATAATGATCCGCTTTTATCATTAGTGACAATGAAACCACTTGATCTGAACACCTTAGTGCCTGATGGGCTATACATTGAAATGCAACCTAGACTAATGAAATTGGGAAGAGTAACTGGACCAGATCAAATACTCACTAAAGAAATCCATGATCAAAGTAGCTGAAACTTGAAAGCATTAAGGACCATTGTATATTTCAAAAACAATGGGAAAAATCATGGATATTACTACCCCTAAAAGTGACACCAGTAACTCCCAATCTAAATGCCTCATTTCTTATCTTTATAAAAGTTACCTACATAGGTATTGAGGGTATCCTTGAGGAAAATATGAGAAGGAAACAGGCAGGTCTTCACAAAATAATTTTCTAAAGCAATGCAACTAAGTAAAGGAATGCAACTAAGCAAAAACAAACATATTCCTCATTTTGCTGCTAGCCTACTACCTCTATGCCAACACTGCTTTGGACAAATTAGCTCCTGTCTCCATCACGGTTCCTTGGTTCCTGTGTCAGGGATGCTGTGTCCAAGAGGATCCATAGCTGAGCTATGAAATGCCAACAACTCAGTAGGCTATAAGAAGGATGAGAAGAAAAAAAAAAGATGAGAAGAAATAGCTTGTAGTCTCTTTGGGTCCTGCCTGATCTGGAACAAAATTCTCTCTCACGCTTTCAGTGGGAGGGAGAGAGGATCCCTCCTTCCTCCACTTGTCCAGCAGCAGCAGCTATTATGCCAAAGAGCACACAGTTGGTGGTTAATAAACGCTTGCTGATTGTTTCCCAGAGTGGTTGGACCAATTCACTACTCCAAACACTGTCTTCCTACAGTCCCACCAACGTTTCCTGCTGTCATCATTTGTCATCTTTGCCAATTTCATGGTGAAACCTCAGAATCATTTCAATTTGCATGTCTCATATTAATAGCAACCCAGAGCAATCATTCAGATGGTTGCTGAGAGTTTGCACTTTGTTTCAACTGCCTGTTCATATTGTGACAAGAACATTTCTGGCTCAGGCTTCTTGCCACCACTGTGCTAAGAAAAACACTGCCCCAGTCTCTATCTTGAGCTTCCTGACACTGCTTGAAGCAAACAGGTCACACTTCCTGCTGAAGTCTGCAGAATCAAGCTTGGGATGTAAACTTCAGCTCTAGTTTGGACCAGCTCGTTCCCAGACTTAACTGATACAGACATCCTTATCATGCCTTTCAGTTGTTTGTTTCCTGCTGTGTATGCTCTTATCTTCCCCTCCTGCATTTTCTAAAATTCCATTCTATCCATCTTGCTTATGTATTCATATTCTATAGAAGGTTACTCAAATTAACACTCTGGGCTCACTCACTGGGAAGTTTTCCCCGCATAGCCTGCTCTGAGTATAATAAAAAGGTAGTTACTATCTCTACCATTGATTCAGTGATTAACATCAGTACCTAATCAATAGATCTTTGAATAACTTTTATCTCAGTATCCTTTGAGCTCTTATCTATTGGAGAATTGTTCTAGGTCCTAAATATTTGTATCAATTACAGTTTTATCAGAGATAGTGGATTTGAAGATATTTTCCTAATGTCAACAGTTTCCTTTCTTACTTTAATTAAGTCGATTTTGTTTGCACAAAAGCTTTTTGATACTACATAAACAAAAGTGTCCTTAAGCTAGGAGGCGCTGTGGTGAATAGAATGCTGGCCCTGGAGTCAAGAGGACTGACTCATCTTCAAATCCAGCCTCAGGCACTTCCTAGCTGTGTGACCCTGGGCAAATCATTTCACCCTGTTTGCCTCAGTTTCCTCATCTGTCAAATGAGCTGGAGAAGGAAACGGCAAACCACTCTGGTATCTCTGCCAAGAAACCTCAAATAGGGTCCCGGAGAATCAAACACGACTGAAAAACAACTCAACAACCTACCTCTTGTTGTACTCTACATTTTCCTTCAATCTATTGGCCTGAAAGTGACCACTTTCCATCCTCCTCGTAAGTTTTGCACATTGTTATTCTGGCACATTAAGGTTGCTTGTCCATTTGGAACTTTTTGTGACAGATGACGTTAAGAGAATGGTCTGAACCCAATTTCTGCCAAACTGTTTTTCAATAGGCAGATATGTGTTCTTGGTTTCTGGCAAACCCTGGGCTACTATGTTTGGTTTCTTCTATGTCTTCCTTGTATCTAATCTATTTCACTGCTCTATTTTCCACTTTTCAACAAGTGCCAACTAGTTTTGATGATTACTAGTTTGTAATAGAGTTCAACATGTGGTAACCCTCATCCTTTTTCATTTCAACTTTTCCCCATTATTTCCCTTCTGACCCTTGATTTTTTGGGCCTTTTTTGTTATATTCAGCTGCCAAATTGATATGGTTTTTTTTAGGCAATTGGGGTTAAGTGACTTGCCCAGGGTCACACAGCTAGTGTCAAGTGTTTGGTCTGAGGTCGAATTTGAACTCAGGTCCTCCTGACTTCAGGGCCGGTGCTCTATCCACTGTGCCACCTAGCTGCCCCCAAATTGTTATTTCTGAAGCACAGATCTTACCCCCTCCCCAAGAAGCGGCAGTGACTCCCTTTTGTTTCTATGACAAAATCCAAAATCTCCTGTTTATCATCAAGGGTCTGTTGATTAGGTACTGATTTGAAAGCCCTCCACAGTTCCCATCCAACCTCTTTGCAGACCGTCTTCATGTTATTCCCCCTCACACACCCTCTGCCTTTCCATGGGTTGTCCCCCTTGCCTGGAATACTCTCCTTCCTCATTTCTGCCTCTCAGAATGCCTAGCTCCCTTAAAGGTTCAGCTCCACATTTCTTAATCCCCTCATTGTACTAATGCACATCCCCTTCCTCTTCCCTTACACACACACCAATTATGCAGTATTTACTTTATATATGTAGTACCCTGTCTGGGCTTACTCTCCCAACCCACACTTGAACTGATGTGTTGAATTCCCACAGGGTGGCAGACGACAGTCAGGTGGCAATAGCTCCCCTCGGGATTCTAAGGAAACCCAGAGGGATTGTGACAGCTAGGTGGTACTGCAGTAGCTAGAGCACTGGGCCTGGTGTCAGGAAGACCGGTTCAAATCCAGCCTCAGACACTTAATAGCTGTCTGACCCTAGGCAAGTCACTTAACTTCTGCCTGCCTCAGCTTCTTCATCTGTAAAATGGGGATCATAATAGCACCAAATTTGAACAGCCAAAGAAAGTATCTGGAGCCAAGAGATGGAGCATCTTATTTGAGGAATAGCAAGGAGGCCAGTGTCACTGGATTGAAGAACAAGGTGTAAGAAGATTAGAAAGGTAGGGCTAGGTTAAAGAGTTCCTGTAAGGATCAAATGAGATAGTATTTGCTCTGCACTTATCACAGCGCCTGGCACACAGTAAGTACTTAATAAATATTTCCTTCCTTCCTTCCTTCCTTTCTTCTTCCCTTCCTCCCTTCTTTCCCTCCTCCCTTCCTTCTTTCCCTCCTTCCTTCCTTCTTTCCCTCCTTCCTTCCTTCCCCTTCATTCCTTCCCCCTTCCTCCCTCCCTTTCTTCCTCCCTCCTTCCTTTCTTCCTTCCCCCCTTCCTTCCTTTCTTCTTCCCTCCCTCCCTTCCTTCCTTCTAATACTACTGCTCATAAGCCCCCATCTGGTGCATTCACCAACATATATATCAATCAGTTGACATCAATTAGCTTTTACAAAGGGATATTTATTAAGAAAGTATAGCGAGGACAGAGAGTACAAATACATGCCCCAAATAGGAAGCCCATTCTCCCCTTGCATATACAATGGCCCTGGAGAGAGTGGATTCGGTGTTACAACAGTTAATTCTAATGCAGTGAGTACATATGTAGGTAACGCGTGGGGCCAAAGAGAACCTTGTAGTGGCTGACCCTAGGAGTCATCAAGTCTTCACTAACTTTGCATCAGGCTGTGGCATTACAGTGGATGAGTTGCCCTCTTGCTCCACAGGGCTGGTTCCTTCCTATAGGGTCTCCAGGTTTCTGGGTCAAACTAATGTGCGCTGGGCCATGTGGCTCCTGCTGCTGGATCCAGGGGTTTCTGCTACTGACTAGAGTTGCTGAGGGGGACCTCTGATGGTTCTTCTGAGCTTTGGAAGTTCACAAGGTCATACCCTGGTTACTCTCATTTCCAGATATTCATTTACCTAAAATCAGGAAAAAATAAACCAAAAGAAACAGGTAATGTATGTTCGTAGGTACATGGAGGCTAGAGGTAGGGAATGGAGTTCTTCCCCAGCCCTGCAACTCACAGAACCACTATGAGAACTCCACTAGAGACAAGACTGAGAGGTCATTCATTCAAACTTTTACATGCCCTTTCACCTCTGCCTCAGCCTTTACTGAATCATCAGCCCATTGGCCCTTCGGCCAATCAGAAAACTTTTCATCATCCCATAGCACTAACTGGGGGTCTTCACGGCTAAAATTGACTTCCAAAGTTCCATGTATTAGATTGACCACAGGCAAAGAATACTGCCCATGCCCTGTAAAACCCACCAGGAAGGAAAAAGCTAAGCATGCTCTAAGGATTAGTTCCTCGTTGACCATCCCCAGTAGGCAATTTTTAATGGACTTATCTGTGTATATTTCCCCTACCCAGTATTCATTTCACTCTTCTACCATCTCTTCTCCTGACCCTTTACACCTCTCCCTTAAATCTTCCCTTCCGTAGGTCCTTTATGTCACATCATGATACCACATTGTTCTTTCTTTGACCACAGTTAAATTTCTTTTAAAAATAATAACCTATGAATAAACAAACAAACAAACCACAAAAACCCAAACACTAACATTGCATAGTAGACAGGAAGCTCATTTGGGAGTCAAATTGCATTGGTAGAAAAGCTGATCAACAGAAATCTCACAAACTGATGAAATTACAGGTCTTGTAAAGAAAAAAAAAACCCTACAAATATGAAAAATATTGATTTCATTACTTAAGATTTTACTGATTATTATATACTTCATTCCTTTTCTTGTGTTTCCATTGCTTGAGGGATTTGTTTGCAAGTTGAATATTCTGTTCACTTCCCTCCCTCTCTCTCTCTTTTCCTCCCTCCCTTCCTCTCTCTTTCTCTCTCATCCCTCTCTTTCTCTCTGTCTCCAATGCCTCAAATGCCTCTTTCATTTGAAGTTCATCTTTTTAAATGGACGAATATAGGGGCAGCTAGGTAGTGCAGTGGAAAGAGTACCAGTCCTGAAGTCAGGAGGACCCGAGTTCAAATCCAGCCTCCAACCACTTACTAGCTGTGTGACCCTGGGTAAGTCACTTAACCCCAATTGCCTAAAAAAAAAAAAATAAAACAAAATAAAAAATTAAAAAAATAAATAAACTGATGAATAGACTCAGCTTTGAAGTTTATAACATTTGGAGTTATATCTTGAAGTTGCTTTGCTTTTAGGAATGTACTATGTTTCATTTTCTTCCATGATTTCTCTTGACTATAAAACAATACTGGGTTATTCTAATTAGCTTTCCTTCATACTTGAAGGCCTTTCTGCCACGTTTGCAAAATCTGTTGCTTGTAATTGACATTGTAAATTGTGAAGTTTAGCCGACTTTTCATCTCCCCCCAGCTAGATTCAACTCCTTTGTCATCATGCCCTCAAGCCAGATACCTTCTCCCACTCCCACCCCTAGATTTGTAGCTTTTTGTGTGTTTTGTCTTCCCCCAATAGATTGTAAGCTACTTGAGGGGAGGGAATGTCTTTTTTTTTTTCCTCATTTGTATCCCCAGCACTTAGCACAGTGCCTGGCACATTGTAGGCATTTGATAAATGTTTACTGTATTATATTATTTTCCCCCTCAATTCTCATTGGAGGCTCTAATTTCTAACCTAATTCACTCTTAATATTTTCCTGTAACACTTTTATTTTTCTTTGGAACCATTCTGGAATTTATTGATTTCTAGGTAATTTGTAGCATTGTCTTTTTGAACACTTACTAGCTGTGTGACCCTGGGCAAGTCACTTCACCCCGACTGCCTCACCAAGGGAAAAAAAAAAAGGAAAATCATTTTGGCAGCTGGAGGATGGATTGGAGTGGGGAGAGCCTTGTGGCAGACAGACCCACCAGCAGCTATTGCAATAGTCCAGGTGGGAGGTGATGAGGACCTGCACCAGGGTGGGGGCAGTGTCAGAGGGTATAAGGGTTTGTATTCAAGATGCTGCAAAGGTGAAATTGGCAGGCCTTGACAACTGCTTGGATATAGGGAGTGGGAGAGAGTGAGGACTTCACCTAGGTTTTGAGCCTAGGGAACTGGAAGGATGGTACTGTCTTCCACAGTAAAAGGCAGCACTGCAATGAATAGAGCACTGGTCTTAGAGTCAGGAGACTCCTTTTTCTGAGTTCAAATCCAGCCTCAGACACTTCCTAGCTGTGTGACCCTGGGCAAGGCAGTTCACCCTGTTTGCCTTAGTTTCCTCATCTGTCAGCTGAGCTGGAGAAGGAAATGCAAAGCAGTCTAGTATCTCTGCCAAGAAAACCCCAAATGGGGTCAGAGAGTCAGACAGGACTGAAAAACAACAAGTACAACTCTAAATGATTCTCCACCCATAGTAGGAGGGAAGAGGAAAACTATTTTTCCCTTTGGCCCTTTTACAACTAGCAAAAAACTGTGTCTCAAAGATATGATGTGACTTGCAAACCTGAAAGGGAAGTTTCTTGAATGTCAATCTCATTTCTACATCAAAGAGCTTATAGGATCACATTTCCAATTTGCGCCCAACACTGGCTCTCTGACTTTTCGGGTCCATTTCAAAAGGTGATATTAGTTCAAATTGGTTTGTAGCTCAAACTTAGCTGAGAGCAATTTCTGAGGCTGCCATCCAGAGTGGAACATTTCACTTGCCTATTAATCACAGAAATACAAAATGTCAGAGCTGAAAGGTGCTTTCGGGACCATCTATTCTAAATTCGGAGAGAAAAATTGAGGCTCAGTGAGGGGAAATGACTTGTCCAGATTCGCATAGCTAGTATGTAGGTCTTCTGAATTCCTACCAGTTCAGAGCTCTCTGTTTCCCTGTAAATGTCAGATACATTAATAGCTTGCATTCCAAGTACCACATTTTTCTTGCAAAGGACAATTTCACTGCATTACCAGTTTGCTGGTAACGTATCACAGCTAGAATTCTGTTTTTGCCCCTGAATGGGCAACACTATTCCTCCTTACCCCACCTCTACCCTCCCCCCCAAATAACAAGGGGTTTCTAGGAAAAGATATTTCCAAAGGAAGTCTTGCTTGCACCTAAAGTTAACCTGCTAGTATGGATCAGTCAGTCAGTCAGTCAGTCAGTCAATGAATATGGGGAAGTTAGGAAGGGGTTTTTCTTACAATTTCAGTTTTGGACATTTGGAGTTTAAAATGTCTACAGGACATCTAGTCCATGAATGTCTAATAGGCATTTGGAGATGTGAGACTTGAGATCAGCAGAGAGGTTAAGGCTGGATAAGTAGATTTGAGAATCATCAGCATACAGATGATAATTAATTCCATGGGAGCTGATGAGATCACCAAGTGAAATGGCATAGAGGGAGAAGGAAAGAGAAGCCAGAACCGAGCCCTGTGGGACACCCACAGTAAGCAGGTATGACCTAGATGAAGATCCAGCAAAGGAGACTAAGGAGCATAGTTACAAAGTGTTTTCCAAAATGGTTGGATGAGTTCACAGCTCCACCTACAATGCATTAAAGTGCCTGTTTTGCGCAGCCACTCCAGCATTTGTCATCTGTCTTGTTTTGTCCATTTAGTCAATCTGATGGCTGTGAGGTGGCACCTCAGAGATGTTTTGTTTTGTATTTTTCCAGCTATTACTGATGTAGAGCATTTTTCAAATGGCTACTGATCGTTTGACTTTCTTCCTCTGAAAACTGTCTATTCCTATCCTTTGACCATTTATCAATTGAAGAATAGCTCTTTTTCTTATATATTTTACTTGGATCCATATATATACACACACATACATATGTATACATTATATATATTTTTAAGAGAAACTTACTGAAAAGATTTTTCTTTCCAATTTCCTGCTTCTCTTCTAATTTTAGCTGCATTGGTTTTATTTGTGCAAAAACTTTTTAATTTTATGTAATCAAAATTGTCCATTTTACCTCCTGTGAATCTCTCTATCTCTAGTTCAGTCATGAACCCTTCCCCTATCCGTGGGTCTGACGGGTGATTTCTTCCATGCTCCTCTAATTTGCTTATGTCTTTGTATGTCTAAATTATGTTCTCATTTGGAGCTTACCTTGGAATACAGGGTGAGATATTGGTCCATATCTAGTTTTTGCCAGATTACTTTCCAGTTTTCCCAACAGTTTTGAATAGTGAGTTCTTTTCCCAATAGAGAGCTTTAGATTGATCAAATACTAGGCTATTGTGTACATCTGCATATACTGTGTACCTAATCTATTCCACTGATTGACCATTCTACTTCTTACCCAGTAACAAATTGTGATGATTACAGCTTTGCAGTATATTTTGAGATATTTTCCTTCCTTTTTTTTATATTGATTCCCTTGATATTTGTACGGGCCGCACGCCGACCTTCTGCCAGTCGTGCGCCAGTACCC